AAAACTCAATGTGGTTAATTCGCTATCTTGACAATCACCTTAAATTTCATCCAGAAGCTGCCCTTTCACAGATATTATGACACGGGCCTGTGACAAAGTAGACGCCCACTCCTAATCGCTCTGACGCAGAGAGCGTCACTTCTGAGTTCATGGTTAAGCTGAGCCGGGGGAGCAAAACACCAATGCAAATACGGTGGCAGCAGCTTTTCTGGTTCAAATAAGCAAGAATCCAAAAAGACAAACCGCGTGTTCGAGTAAGTAACGAACAAAAAACCACCGTGAGAAGGCTGGGGTGGGACGGCACTGATCCATCCTGGAGGTCAGCCTGGAAGGGGAGGAAGGTCAACATGCAGGGCCCAGGGCGGGCAGGAAGAGTCTGGGAGCTCCCCCGAGGCGGAGGGCAGCTCCTGATGGTGCTCTGGGAGGTGAACAAGGGGTCAGGTCTGCAGTTCACACTTAGCCCTCAGGAAGAGACTGCAAAGCATGACAGGGCCAGAGCCCGGGGACCAGGGTCAGGCCGCCACGAGCCTGGGCAGGCCGAGGGCGCTCCCGCTCAAACCGCGTTAGCCATCTCGCAGCACTAAACCACGCGTGGGGCCTGCACCCGAGGCCGTGCAGTCTGTAAGGAGCGAGACTCAGGCCGGGTCTCGTCATGTCTGTGCGGGGCTCCCTCCTCTGCACGCCAGACCCGTGGGAACACATGCTGGTCCTCTGCCCAGACCTCTGCTCACAACTGGCCGGGTCTTCAGACAGCATGCACCCACACAGGGAGAGACGCGCAGGGGCGACGACCTCCCAGCTCCCAGCCCTGGTGTCCATGCAGCAGCGGGCACCCCCGGGGCTCTGGGCCTGCTGTCCGCGGTAGGGGCGGCACAGGGAGAGAGGGGACTTAAAGACCCACACAGCGACTGTGGCCACACCGGGGGCTAAAGACCCACACAGCGACTGTGGCCACACCGGGGGCTAAAGACCCACACAGCGACTGGCCACACCGGGGACTCGCACTTCAATTCTGGGTGATCGTCTGTCAGTGGCTACACCGCGGGCCTGGCGCGCTGCTGGGATGGCGTTGCCTGGGGCTCCCCTGCCCTGGAGGGGTGGGGGCTGCAGTTCTGGCAGGCCCTGTCCTCTGAGCAGCCCCGTCCGAGCTGGCGCTGGGCAGCGTGGCCCCTGAAGAGGGGTGCGGCGGAGGTGGTGGCAGGAGCCAAGCCCTCCTTCCTGGTGAGTCATTGCTGCCTGGCGTCACAGAGCCGAGACATTCCCTGCGAGCCGTCATGCGTCACAGGTGAGCAGCTGGCTCGGCACCGTCCTCCCCCGGGGGGGGGGGGGTGCAGTGGAGGGGGGTGGTTCTCCGAGCAACGCCAGATGCCCTCGTTCTCACCCCTTCGCAGTGGGACAGTATTTCGGGGCCATGTAAGTTTAAAGTTTAATCTTTAAAACTGCGAAGCCCACGAGCAGGGATGGGGGGACCTGACTTTCTCTGCAGCTCCCAGAAGTACACTTGCGGTTCCCATGGAAACCGTACTTCCTCACGGAGTAGTGACTTGTTCCCTGTCCTTCAGCCCCAGCAGGTGGCCCCAGTGTGTCTCCCAGATGCAGAAGCTGGGCAGCCCACAGGTCCCCATATTCAAAAGAGGACCCCAAAATGCCTTGTAGCTTGACTGTACCAATGCCAACGATAGACTCGTGGCTCTCTGGGAGAAGCTGGGTAAGAACATAGGATCTCTTCTCTTTCCTTTTCTTTCTCTTTTAAGATTTATTTGAGAGAGACAGCATGGGGCACAGGGAGAGAAGCAGAGCCCCTGCTGGGCACAGAGCCCAACTCTGGGGCTAAATCCCACCACCCTGAGATCATGACCTGAGCCGATACGAAAAATTAGGCACTTCACCGACGGAGCCATCTAGGCGCCCCTGTTACTTCTTATGGGTTTGAGGGAATCTGCAATTATCTCAATATTAACAGTTTAAGAAAAAAAAGGCAGAGCTCCCAGATCCCCAGCAGCCTACCACGGCCTCCCTAGAGAACACCCCGAGTTCCTGCTCCCTCCGTGCCCTCCGCATCCAACACAGAGCCCTGGCAGGCACGTGGGTCCTAGAGACCAGACTAGGAAAACGAACAGACACACACGACACACAGGCTTTTCCGAGAGTCCCTCTCCCCTTTCCAGCGGCTGCTCCGCCCACGCGGAGCTGTCTGGGGTTAATCTGCCTGCCACCTGAGTGCGATGACACAGAAGGCTCACGGGAGACCAGGTCAGCGTCAGAAAATATTTTCTGAGTCATGGGGAGGGATGGCTCACTCTGCCCACCCACTCATCCCCCTGCATAAAGGGCATGACTGCTCAGAGGGCATTCATGGGAGAATCGTGGGCTCCAGGGAGGAAGCTGGAGGTGGGGACAGTCACGCTGGGGCTGCTCCCCCGCCCACAGGCTTAATAAGTCATGGAGGGGATGAACCACTCCACCCCCTCGCAGTTTCTTGCCCTGCCGCCTGGCAGCCAAAAATACCACGACCTCCCTTCCAGCTGGGACCCGGTTTTCCCAGTAAGACAAGAGCCACCTTGAACAGCAGGTGGGTGTCCCAGAACTCTAAGTCAGGAAAGCAACAAAACTCAGCCTGCCCCTCCCCCCACCTTCCCTCCTATTTGTCAATTTCCCAAAAAGCCTGTTTCTGAGGGGGACAATTCCCAGAGTGGGTGCTTGTGGCTGTTGGCACTTCCTCCTACAGATGCCCCGACTCCAAGAAGCCACCCACATGTCCCCCAGGGCAAAAGCAGCAGCCCCTCCCTCCAGGACCACCTCAGGCCCCAGCTATCTACGCCACACACCATGCTGAACCTGTGGGTTTACAGAGCTCCTACCTCCCTACGCCCATACATATCCCGAGAATGCAAACACCATCCACCGTCCTCTGCACCCCCAGGGACACGGGAAGCATCCAGTAGATGCTGGCAGCATGAATGGGTCCGTGAACGAACCGGCCTAGTCATCTCGCATATGTAGTCAAGGGACAGTCCGACCTTCTTGGAAGTTGACTTATGAAGTCATCCGTTTTCTCAGCACAGTCACCATCGAATCGCCACAAAACAGGACCTCTTCCGAGAGCACCACCCCGCTTCCCACCAGAAAGCCGGCCTGTCAGCAGGGTTACGGAAAGTGAACAGACCTCACTACAAAGCTGTACCAAGAGTGTTGCCTCCCGCGGCGGCTGGCTGAGGACCGCGCGGGGCCGCCTGCCCCCTGGCCGGGCAGTTGGACAACCACACCAGGAGAGGGCCTGCCGACGTCAGGCAGAACGCCCGGCCAGCGGGCAGCATGGCCCTGCTCCCCTGCCAAGGGAGGTCCCGGCCAGAGGGAAAGACACTCCACAGTTCAGAACCAGTAACTGGTCGGAAGCCGGGTCCGGCCAGGCCCCCCACGCAAGGCATCGATTACCCCGGGTACGAATCGCTGAGGGCCCTGCTCCACCCCGATTAGGACGGTGGGCACCGGCCGCTGCGGCTGTCTCTGCATGTCCAGGACCCAGACAGCGGGTCACAGTGCATCTCCTCGCTCTTCTGATGCCCAGCAGAGCCAATCTGGGAGACGCGCAAGTATCACACACAGCGGCACAGACCCCACCGCCCTCCCCCCGCACGTCCCAAGGTGAGAAGTCAAGCTGCATAGAAACCTGCCCCCCAGGCTCAGAGCGGCTTTATTCCTAACCACGCCCCCCCGCCCCGCCCCCAAGGCCACCGCCAGCCAGCTGAACAGGGCGATGACCAGATGGAGCAGGATGCGCCACAGGCAGGGACTTCTGATACCCACAGCAACATGGGTCCCAGCCAGGCCTCGCGGGGTCAGAAAGCTGCCCGCTGTCCGTTCCACCTTCCTGACTTTCGGGAAAAGGCAGGCCTGGAGGGGCGGGGAGGACAGAGCAGCGCTGGTGGAAAAGCGCTCGGAGGGCTGACAGCGGCCTGATGGGACGGACCGGTCAGCGCTCCCGCAGCGAGGCTGGCGTGCGAGCTAAGGAGGAAAACTAACTCCATCTTCCAGAAGGCTCTGGCCAGCCGGCGGGTGCACGCGGGGCGCTGTCACAGGGTGGGGACAGGCGGGGGCCAGAAACGGTTGGAGTTCTGAAGGTTCTGCCCGCTTTCGTCACCTCGGACGGCGGTCCCCCGCCCTGCCCCCTGCCCGGGCGGCCGGACACACACACACCCCGGCGCTGCCAGCCGGAAAAGCCGGGGCCGGGGCTCGACCTCGCCTCCCGCCGCAGGATGAACAAAAATAGCAAGCTCCGGCGCGCGCGGCGGGCTGGAAACCGCGGAGAAGCCGGGGCCGGCGGCCAACACCCGCTCCCGGGCGGTCGCCGCGCCCCGACCCCGCCCCCGGCCGCGACGTTTCCAAAAACTGACACACACGGAGCGCGCGTGAGGGGCGGGGCGCGCGGGCTTCCCCGCCGGGTCCCCCGGAGGGCCCTGTCCCCCCGCCCGGCGTGCGCGCCAAAGGGCGCCCCGAAGACGCCCGCCCACGGCGCCTGCCGCGCTCCCGCTCCCGCTCCCAACGGCAGCCTGCCCGGCCCGAGCGGCCCCGGGGACGCGGACACCCGCGCCGCGCCGCCCACCCGCGCCCCCGCAGCACCCCGGGGCCGCCCCGGTAAATTTCTGCCCGGCCTGTCCTCTTCCGAGGGGGCCCCGGGTCCGGCCGGCCCGCCGCCTGCCCGCGACAGCGCGGGGACGCAGAGCGGCGCGGCCACTGCGGGGCCGAGCCCGCTGACAGCGCCCGACCCAACCGACGCCGCGCGCGAGCCGACTGTCAGCACCCCCGCCCCGCAGCCCCGGCCCCCGCGCCCGGCCCGGCCACCGCAGCGCCGCAAACGGCCGCGGGCAGCGCCGTCCAGCCGCAGGACGGCCGGAGGGGGCTTCTCGGGATCCCGGCGGCCCCGTCCGCGGGCGGGCGCGGCGCGCCGCGGGGCCCGGGCCGGGGGACGGGGCGCGGCGGGGCGCAGGGGCGGCACTCACGTAGACCGGCAGCGGCCACGGGTAGACGGCGGGCTCGGCCCCCACGGGCGACTTGAGCCTCAGCTCCAGCTTCTCCCCCATGTCGGCGAGCGCGGCCGCCGCACCATGCTAGTCGGGAGGTTGGGGGAGGGGCGCGGCGCCGCCGGCGGGGGGCGGGGCGGCGGGCGGAGGAGGGCGGGCGGGAGGGCGGGAGGCTGAGGGGAGGGGGGTGCGCCCGGCCTGGGCCTCGGCCGCCGCCGCCGCCGCCGCCGCCGCCGCGGCGCTCCCGTCCGGCCCCCGGCTCCTCTTTGTGGTCACAGGCCCGGGGCCTGCAGCGCCGCCGCCATCTTGGGCCGGCGTGAGGTGAGCACAATGAGCCGGGGGCCGGGCCGAACCATTCGCCGCGCGCGCGCGGGGGGGGCCGGCGCGAGGAGGCGGTGCGCGCCCGCTGCCCCGCCCGCCGCGCCGCGCGCCGCCCCCCCGCCGCCCCGCCCCGTGGGCTCGCCCGCACGCACGCACGCACGCACGTCCTCGGCTGCCCTCGGCCGCCGCGGCCGCCCGGCCGCGGGGACCCGGGGAGACCCCGCGGGTCTGGGATGACAGGCTCGAGCCCCGCCCCCGGAGCGGCGGGGCGCGTCCTCCCCACGCCTGGTAACGCCGTCGTGCCTCGTGAAATAGGACGCCCGGCGTCGGGACGGCCCGCGCTCCCTCTCCCAGCGCGCGCCGCGCGGGCCGGCAGCTTCTGCTCGGCGCGGGGGAAGCCAAGAGGGTGCCGAGGGCCGCTGTCCCGGGGGGCGTGCAGGCCTTGCTCCGGCGGCGGCCAGGGGCTGGCGTTCCCGCGAGATCGGGGTCGAATCGCTGGACGTGAGGCTGAGGACGTTGTCGCCGGCGGGCTGTGGGTGGGCCTCGTCCAATCAGGGGACGGTCTTAAGAGGACAGAATTGGGTTCCCTCCAGGGAGGGACCTCTGGCTGCACCAGCGGCTCTTCCTGGTGTCCCGCCTGGAGATTTCCGACCGGATGGCCACGCTCCCATGGCTCGGGCCTGCGGCGAAAGTGCGCCGCATCTGTACCGTGTCTACACAGCGTCGCGTGTGCGTCCGCGTGTGCGCGGCGTCTCTGCACGCGCGTCTGCTCACAGGTGTGCGCGCGCGGCACGGTGCGCGGTACCTGTTCTGCCCATGGGGCTCTGGCACGGGGGCACGTGCGCATGCACACCGCGGCGGGGCCCCGTGTGCGTGTGGACACACGCGGCCCGTGGGTTCTTGCGTGGGGCGGCCTCACGCGTGGCCTGTGGTCACTGCCCGCGGGGAGCCAGCCGCCGGCCTTCGCAGTCCCTCCCCGGACGTCGCAGCCCCGGGAGGGCGGCGGGGGCGTCCGCGCTGGCCGGGTGAGGGCCTGACGGCAGGGACCCGCTCCGGGTCGCGCGGGTGGGAGGTGGAGCCCCGCGGCGGTGCCCACGCCCCCGAGCGTGCGCCTTCCCGGCGGTGGGGACAGGACGAGGCAGGGTCCGAAAGCCAGGGCGGTGGCTTCCACTTGTCGGAGCTCGAGACCGCCGCGCCCCAACCAAGGCGTTAGAAGTCAGGGCAGTGGTTAGCTCAGGTCAGCGGGGAGGCGCCGGGACCTTCACCTGTGGAAGAGGATCCGTCGAGCACTTCTCGTGTGTCTGTCCATAAAAAGCTTTCTGGGAACAGGTACCCGGGTTGCTGTGCAGAGAACGCACCGGGGGGCCTGGGGGGTAAAGGAAGAAGCAGGAGAGTGAGGGGGCCAGATGGTCACCTGGGGACAGGGAAGGAGGGGTCTGAAGAGGGACAAACCCCCCATGGGTCATGCAGCCAGCCAGCCTGGACTTTGTGAGCTGAGGACAGCCCGAGACAGGGTTAGGGTCCCCAGCCCGAGGAGCCAGAAGCCCGGAGCCGCCTCACTCCTCCCAGACAGGAGAGCCTGTCCGCCACCTCTGGCTGCCTGGCTCTCAGGCTGTTTGCAGTTTCCATCCCATAGGGCACAGAGGCAGCCAAAGCTCGGGCCTCAGGAAACCCCCTCCCTCCCTGTCTTCCCCCTCCCTCCTCCTCCAGCCGTTCCCCCATCCCCCATCTGTCCTCTCCCTTCTGCGGAGAGACCCCGAGGGACCTCTCAGACCCTGGCTCAGGCAGCCAACCGGAGAGTGGCTACAGACAGCTGCTTCCCATCCCTCCCCTCCCCTGCCTGTCCCCCACCATCTGAGGGATGTCAAGACAGGCCCTGGAGGAGGGTGACCTTGGCCCCGGGCCCTCAGCATGTGCCTTCCCCTACTTGGAATACGCTTCCTGAGACGCCTCCCTCTGTCATCAGTGTTGTTCCCTGCTCACTTCCTCCGGAACCTTCCTGGACTGCACAGAGAAGGTGGGGCCCCAGAGTCTGCTTTACACACGCCACGGACCCAAAGAATTCCGGTCCTGGCCCACCCTTCCCTGCCGGGTTCGTCCTGTGAGCAAATGATGGCAGCAGTCCCTGCCTCAGATTTGAGAGGGTCAAGTCAGTTCGCATAGAAAGTGCTAGAATGGTGCCTGCTACGTAGAAGTTATTTGCCACCAGCAACACTGCTGGTACTGTTAGGGTGGTTTATAGGGTGACCCGCCATCCGGTTTGCCCAGGACTGTCCTGGTCTTGGCTCTGGAAACCCAGGGAATCCCTCTGTTCTGGACACACAGGGATGGTTGGTCACCCTACTTAGGATTTATCTGCCATCCCCATGCAGCCGGAAGGAGATCTCCCCGCACCTGCCTTCCTTCCTGCTAACCCTTCATTCATCCACTCACCTCTGCTCAACGCCTTTATTCGGCAGCATTGCATAAGCATCTACGACCCAGCAGGCCCCCTTCCAGGAGCGGCGAACATAGCAGCCAGGACGGTGGATGGAAATCCATGTCCTCATAAGAGCTGACATTCCAGGAAGGGCGAGGAACAGTAAGCCCGTAAGATGTCATTTATTATGCAGGATAGTCCTGCCCCTAGGGGACATCGGGCCATGTCTGGGTACATCTGTGCTTGTCACAGCTAGGGTGAGGCCGGCATTGAGGGGGTGGGGCCAGGGATGCTGATCAGCCCCCAGAACGCCCAGAAGACGCCCACAGAGAACGACCCCGCCCAGCGTCCACAGCGCGGAGGGGCAGAGGCCCTGCTCCAACATTATTTTGACAAGCTCCCCCAGATTCCTGCGAGGGCAGGGGCTCTGTCCCAGCCACTTGTCACCCTCAGAGGTGACGCGGAGCGAGGCAGGGCTGAGACAAGTCTTGGGGATGAAATTACAAGCATGTATCCCCATCCACTGGGCACTCAGCGGGGGGGGGGGGCGCTGTCCCCTGCACACTCTGGCTTCTATCACCCACCTTGTGCAGCTGGCTCTTTCCAAAGTCATCTCTGGTCCCTGCCCTGGGTTGAGTGGACTCTGAAAACAAGGACTTGATGGCAGGCTGATGGTTCGAGAGGTGCAGAGAGCAGCATGGGAAGAGGAGATGAGACAGGAGGAGACGGGTGTGCTGACACCGGCGGCCTCAGTTGGACCTCCCCCATCCCAGAGACTCTGGGCACATGCAAACACATACCTTGGCACGAGCCCACCCAGGGTGTCCAAGGAGTGGGGTACTTATGCACGAGCTCCTGCTATCGGGGGAGGCGTGGCGGGGCGTGTGAACTCCCCCGAACTTTACCCCACCACAGTCCTCGACGTGCAGACGCTGGCTGTTTGAGTCTCCAAACGGTTGGGTCCAAGCAGAGTCGAGTCCCGTCCCATCCTCTCCTGTGGTTCTAAATACTTGTGGAGCCTTCAGAGGGCACCAGCACTTTCGTCTTCGGCTCTGGAGCGAACCACGTGCGGACAAGCCGCCCCTGTCGGGGACCAGCAGCGACTCTTCATTGTCCTGAGACACTCCAGACACGAAAATCGTAAAGACCAGAGGAGACTCAGGCCTGCCTAAATCAAGGGATGACACTACTATCTTTGTAAAAGTGCTTAATTTTAATAGTTAAGGTTTACCAAAAAAGTAGGGTTGCTTGGGTGGCTCAGTGGGTTAAGCCTCTGCCTCCGGCTCAAGTCATGATCTCAGGGTCCTGGGAGTGAGCCCCGCATCGAGCTCTCTGCTCGGCCGTGAACCTGCTTCCCTTCCTCTCTCTCTGCCTGCCTCTCTGCCTGTTTGTGATCTCTGTCAAATAAATAAATCTTTAAAAAAAAATTTACCAAAAAAGTTGCAAAGACGGTACAGAATGTTCCTACGCACCCCCACCCTGGACCCAGTCCCCGCCACCATTTTTCACATGTTACATTAGTGTGGCCTCTTGGCTACAGCTAAGGAGCCAACCTCAACACATTATCACGAACTGAAGTCCAGGCTTCATTTGCATTTCTTTCATTCTTCCCTAACGTAGTTTTTTCTGTCCCGGTGTTCTCTGGACTGTGACGGGTTTGGTACCTTGAAGATTTTGAGGAGACTCATCAGGCATTATGTCTGTTAATTTGTTTTAATTTGTTTTTCTGATGTTTTTCTTAACGATTACTACGGGGTTATGGGGCTTGGGGGAGGAAGACCCAGAGATAAACGCCGTTGTCATCAGACGATGTGGAGGACACCTCCCGCCAGCAGGATGTAGGACCGAGCTGGTAACTTTGATCACCTGACTATACTACTATCCTTTAAATCATGGTGGACATTTCCCTCCCCCAAGTAACCAAAAGTAGACTGACAACATCTCATGTTGGTGAGGACGGGGGTCCCTAGAACTCCCGTGGGCTGAGGCTGGTAGCGGGGACTATGCGTGGGTCTCACAGGGTCAGGGAAGGGCAGTGAAGCAACGCCAAAAAACTTTAATCGAATTTCCTTCCTTCCTTCCTTCCTTCCTTTCTTTTTTTGAGAGCAGTTTGTTCTTTATTTGGGAGCTTTTTCTTTCTTTTCTATTTCACTAAGTTTTTCACTTTAATTCCAATGTAGCTAGCGAGCGGTGTCATTTTCAGGGTCCGGGATTGTGACTCAGTGACTCCGTGCTCGTCATGAGCGCGCCCTTCCACTGTTTCGCCCTTATCCGCCCACGAAAGGGACTTACTTCCTAACTCCAGTTGTATGACGTGCAAAGCCAGGAGAATGAACAAATGGTGTTGGAAGCGGGATACGGTTGTCACTGGGG